CGTGCTCGTCGACAACATCATCGTGCACCCTCAGTTCAACCCCCAGACCCTCGCCAACGACGTCGCTCTCCTGCACCTCTCCGTCCCCGTCAACACTGCAGCAGCTCCGAACATCGGCACCGCCTGCTTGCCTTCCCAGGGCCAGTTCTTCCAGGGGCTGAGGTGAGTCCGGTCTGCCTCTCGGGAGGAGCTCTCCGGGGGTCAGCTCTTTAAATCTATCCTCTTTGGTCGTGGTCTTCGTGAGGGTCTATTTCATAACAAAGCAAATCTGTTGATATTTTGGGTTTCAAGTACTTTGGATCTTTATTTGGGTAGCTCTTCCTTGGACCGAGTTGAATCTGAGGACAGTTTGGGAGTGACCTTTCGGTGGTCTGCTTGTGGGTTGAGGAAGTGCGTTTGACCTTTTGGGATCTTCACGGGGGTCAGCTGATCCAGGGGTCAAAGCAAATAATTTTTACCTTCTGGAATTGAACTTCACGGAGGTCAGGATGGGCAAGTGTTTATTAAGACTCTATAAAGCAGACTGATAAAGGGCTTTACCTTGATATCCTCCCTGCAACACAAAAAAGAATCCGCCAACGACCTTAGATATCGGCGCAACGAGATAACCAAATAACCAATGAATAGATTAAACAAATAAAAAAATAGATAAACAACAAACAACAAAGCCTAACACGCAAGCCCTTCCCATCCCTTTCGCAGGTGCGTCGTGTCGGGCTGGGGCGGCGACCCGACCATCCCCGGCAACCGGTTCCAGAATACCCTCCGCGTGGTCCAGGTCCCGATGGTCGACTCCTTCGCCTGCCAACAGCGCCTCGGAGCCGCCCGCCTCGGAAGCAACTTCACCCTGGACCAGACGTCCTTCGTCTGCGCCGGAGGAGTCGAGGGAAACGACGCGTGCACTGTAAGTCCTGGGGATGTGGGACTTAGGGGGGGGAGGATGGTCTCTGTGTTTGTGTGTGAGGGGATGGAGGGGGAGGGAGGGGAGGGAGGGAAACAGAAGAAAGGAAAATGAGGAAGAGTGAGAGAGAGAAAGGGATAAAGAGAGAAAAAGAGGAGAGAGAGGGAGAAAGAGATAGAGAGAGAGTGAGAAAGAGAGAGAGAGAGAGAGAGAGAGAGAGAGAGAGAGAGAGAGAGAGGAGAGAGAGAGAGAGAGAGAGAGAGAGAGAGAGAGAGAGAGAGAGAGAAGAGAGAGAGAGAGAGAGAGAGAGAGAGAGATCAAACAGAAAGAGACAAAGCCAACAAAGGAAAAAATAACAGAAGCACATATGTAATGAGAGAAAAATAACAGAAGCACATCGTCTCTTTCCCGCGCAAAGTTCACGTCTCACTTTCCCGCGCAAAATTTCCAGGGCGACGGCGGGTCTCCTCTTGTGTGTCAGAACGATAGCAACAAGAGCTGGACCGTGGTTGGCCTGGTTGCCTGGGGTCTCGGCTGCGCTCAAAGGGAAGTTCCAGGTGTCTACGTCAACGTGGCCTCGTATGCCAACTTCATCCGACAAAATGTAAGGTAAGGTGGTGATGAATGGCGTGTTCATCTGGTAGTGAGTTAGATGTTATCTTCACCGTTGGTTGGTTAGTGAGTTAGAATCTTCAGGTCTTGGGGTAAAAAAAAACGTTATGGTTTAAATCCTTTTTATTATCTGGTGTTTCTTGGGTATTCATTAACTGTTTGTTACAATTTGAATATTTTAGCGTTCCTTTTAAACCATGTTGTCGAAAAAATGCCATGTTTATTTACAAAATATTCCTCGCCTCAGGTTCTGATACACCGACGACAAACGAAGAGACTAGATGGGTGTTAAAAAGAAATTTAAGGCAAGAACTTTTCATACAAGGAAAGAGCATCCATTCTTATGGCCCCTGTGATATTACCTCACTTCATACAAATCTGTATTATTATTATTATTTTGTATCATGGTGAAGTAAACTAGAAACATTGATTATTTCTTTTAAAATCCTTTCAAAAACACACAAATGTACACATAAATGTATCTAGAATACTTGTTTAGTGGCGGATCCACAGGGGAAGGTATGCAGCCCCCCCCCCCCCACTGACTCCCAAACACGGGATCAACAAGCCGCGCAATGTAAAATTTTCTACAGCAGACCCACCTTCGTCTCGGTGCAACACCATAGAAAACGGGAATTGTAGCTTTTTCCTCGCGGTTCCCTTGCGATCATCAACCAGCCGCTGAAACGACAGACTACAGCGTGGTTAAGTCAAATAGCTTCGTGTAATAATTAAATAATGCATTAAACTGCCTCGAGTGTTTATTAAATATATGTCGAAAATGTTTTATAATAAAAGAAGAAACGAAAGACTATTTGCGTGCTTTTCCTTACCTCTTCAAATATAGACCCGAAAAAAAAGTAGAAATACATATATTGTTTATGCATTTCTCTTTCCGTTTATTTAGACAATTTATTCCCAAGGAAGGAAGGGCGAGAGAAAGATATGAATAATTCAGTACATCATTTATTGCACCATTATAGGTTAAAAACAAAAGGATAACATCACAGCAGCAGTAACAAATATCATTCGTCCGACCTATGGCTCTACTAGAGTATTATAATACCCCTGAAGTTTATGTAAATATTTTCACCCTTATCGACACCATAAAGAGGATAGCCAGAGGAGAAAATTGCTTTCTTTCCTCTCCTTTCGTTTTAAAAAAGTCTCACACCCTGAGGAAATAAATATGACATTCCATCCGTCCCCATTAAGATGATTTTTCTATGAAAAAAGTACAAAATGTATTAGTGAAAATGAGGGCAAAATCACTGAATTCTTACTCGTAAAGAAATACGCACGTAGCCCTCGACTTTCCAGGTAAATTTGCATACGAGTGCGTAATCACTCATCAGGAATCACAACCATCGCTTTTGTTAATTATCATAATCATTATTTATATTTTTAGGGGTATGTACATATGAATAGAATGTTTCAGTAATTTTTGTAGGTTGGTCGTGTGGGCCCTTCCTTCTAAAATCTGTAAGCATAAAAAAATGGCTGTTAGTAATTCTTACAATATTCTTAGTGGATATTCATTTACTGTATATTATATGTAAAACTACAATATGCTGAATTATGGTAATTGGTGTTTAAGAATGGAAGAGAAAACCATAAAAAAACACATAGATCCTTTACTTCACATATCGAACCGGTAAACATACATTTTTTTTTTACTACAGCAAACAAAAAAGGTAAAGAAAAACGCGACTTAATTCAGGTATTGATGAAACGAATATCTGTCAAGAAAGACCAAGTAGTCAGTATGCCCCATGTACTGCCCCCCCCCTCCCCCCACCCCCAAATGTCTATCAACAGTTTTGTTAAAATTGCGCGAGGCCTGACCCAATGAATATTCATTATACGGACACATATATACCGAAATACGTATCTATCAATCTAGACATACACATCTGCCGGAGAGATAGAGAGATAAATGTATATCTGTGAATGTGCGTCCGTAAATATGAATATCCATTCGGCCGGGGCGTCCGCGATTTCAACAAACTGTCATGTTCTATGTCATTCCACCAATCAATAAATATCCGAATTCAATCAATATCCGACTGGCTCTATGTCATTCCATCAATCAATCAATATCCGACTGGCTCTATGTCACTCCATCAATCAGTATCGACTGGCTCTATGTCATCCCATCAATCAACAAATATCCGACCAACGAAATCCTCAGGGTCTCCTCACCTGACGTATTGCCTAATGAAGTCCATCATGTTGGGTATGTTGACGTAGACCCCCGGGACATTCCCCTGGGCGCAGCCGATGCCCCAGGCGACGAGGCCCACGACCGTCCACCCGCTCTGCGTGGGGCACACCAGGGGGGACCCGCCGTCGCCCTGTTGGGGGGGAGTAGGGGGTCAGGCATGAGGAAGAGGGGAGGATTGGGGGTTTTAAGTGGGCATGAAGAAAAAACAAAGGGAAAAAGGCATGAGAAAGGAAGGAGGAGATGGAGGAACACAGAAGAAAAAAAAGGGATTTTCAGGCACGAGAAAAAGGAAAAAAAAAAAAAGGATTTTCAGGCACGAGTAAGAGGGAAGAAAAAAAAAGGATTTCAGGCATAAGAACAGTAGAAAAAAAGAAAAAAAGATTTTCAGGCATAAGAAAATAAGAAAAAGAAGAAAAAAGAAAAAAAATAGGCACGAGTAAGAGGGAAGAGTTGGGAATTTTAGGCAGGGGTATGAAGCCCCCCCCCCCAAAAAAAAAGGATTTTCAGGCATGAGTAAAATGAGGGGAGAAAGGACTGGGCACTTTATCTATGGCCATGAAACAAAACAGGAGGGCTTTCAGTAAGAGGTATGGGTATGAAGAAAATCAGGCATGGGTGAATGAGGAGAATGGGGATTTTAGCTATGGGTACGAAGCAAAATAGTAGATTTTAGACCATATGAAGAAAAAAAAAGGATTTAAAGGCATGAATAAGAGGGAAAGATAGCTTTTCTGAGTAAGAGGAAATTTTTTTTTTTAATCGTGAGGAAGAAGGAGCAGAAGAAGAAGAAAAACGGGTTTAAAGTTATGAGCAAGAGGAGAAAACTTCAAGCCGTGACTTATAAAGAAAAAAAATGACCTAAAAATTATGGGTATCAGAGGAACGAGAAGATTTTCGGTCACGAGTAAACAGTGTAGGAATAAATAGAGTAGGAAGGCTAAGGGATATTCGACTGTGACATAAATAACCTTGTTTAGGAAAAAAAAAATCTTAGATTTAGAATTATAGAATAAGGGGACGTCACACTGCCAGTAGAATATGGAATGGTTTGTGAAGTGAAAGGGGTAGAGAAGAGGAGAAAGGAGAAAAAAGAAGAACGAGGTGGAGGAGAAGGAAGAAAATAAGAAAAGAACGAGAAGAAGACGGAAAGGGAAGGGGAAAAGAATGGGGCAGTATGAGGGAAGAGAAGTGGAAGAAAAAGGAGGATAAAAGGAGAATGAAGGAAAGCAAAAGACTGACCGTGCAGGCGTCCTTCCCGGCGATTCCTCCGGCGCAGATGAAGGACTGCTGGTTGAGGGTGAAGGAGGGTCCGAGGCGCGTCTGCTGCAGGCTGGCTTGGCATCGGAAGGGGTCGACGACGGGGACGTCCACCTCCTTCAGGATCTCTTGGAAATTGCCGCCCGTCTGGAAGGCGTCCTTGCCCCAGCCGGTGACCCAGCACCTGCGAGAGCCAGGTCGCGTAAGGTTTGGTGGTCAAGAGAGGATTTTCACGCGTGCGGGAAAGACATTTCATTCTTCAAGCTTGTCTAGAGTAGACCAAAAATCTCCGGATTTAAACACGACAACCACGACTAACTAGACAAAAAGCAAATAGATCAATAGCTAAAACACTAAACAAAACAAAAAAATCAAGAAAAAATAGCCCCCGTTCACCCACTCACGTCTGCCCGTGGAAGATCTGGCCGGGCGAAGGCAAGCACGCCGTCCCAATGTGCGGGTACTGATTCACGTTGACCGGCTGGGCGAGGTGCAGCAGAGCCACGTCGTTGAGGAGAGCCTGGTTGTCGAAGTTGGGGTGAATGATGATCCTGTCAACCGGGACTTCGAGGTGGGGGAAGTTGGGGTGGTCCTGGCGCTGGCGGACGTTGTGCTCGCCCAGGCGGACTTTGAGGCTCCTGGTGGGGCGCGGCGGAGGGGGGAGTGGGAATTAATGGTGGTGGTGCTGGCGATGAGGGCGGAGAGGAAGGAAGGAGGAGATGGAGGAACAGTGAGAGGGGATTATGGCTGTGGTGATGAGGGCGGAGAGGAAGGAAGGAGGAGGTGGAGGAACAGAGGGAGGAGAGGGGTGAACAGTGAACGTGAATTAGGGCTGTAGAGATGATGGTGGAGAGGAAAGGAGGAGGAGATGGAAGAACAGGAGTGAGAGGGATGGGCAGTGAGAGTGGATTAGGGCTACGGTGGTGAGGGCGTAGTAGAAGGGAGACGGAAAAAGAGGGAGAGGAAAGGGATGAACAACGAGAGAGGACTAGGGTTGTGGTGATCATGGTGGAGAAGGAAGAAAGAGAAGGAAGAACAAGAAAGACAAGAATAGCTTATCGAGAAAAATAATCTGAAACTAAAGATCTAAATCCATGTTATAAAAATAACAGTAATTGCAGTAATCATAAGTACAATCAGTGATAAAAAATAAATTGAATTCAAAGGGTAAAATACAGAACACAAACCTATCAACCATAGAACCAAATTAATACATGAAAAAAACGAGTGAACATACGTAAATAAATGAACAAATAAATATATAAGTAAATAATGAACTAAATGAACAAAAAATATATAATAAATAAATGAACAAATAAAATATATATAATATGATAAATAAATAAACGAACAAATAAAACGGGCAAGCACATAGAAACGAAATGACGAAAAACCCAAACCCACCTCTCGTTGTAAACCTTGTGAGCCGCGGTGAGGACCCAGTCGGGCGCCACGAGGACTCCGCCGCCCTTGTAGCCGTCGCCGAAGTCCAGGACGACCACCATCCAAGGGTACTCGCCGAAGGTGGCCTGGCGGAGAGGTGAGAAGGTTCATGTGTGTCAGCGGTCATAGATGGGGGGGGGGTCTCATAATTATATATCCAAGTGCCAAAAGGGACAGGCAGACACAACACACACACACACACACACACACACACACACACACACACACACACAACACACACACACACACACACACACACACACACGCACGCAAAAAACAGTGACTCCCTATTCCACACGCCACACCACACCAACCGAGCACAGCAGCGGCCCGACCTTACCTCAGCATACTGCGGCTGCCTGTACGGGATGGGGTTCTGGCCGCCGCAGCCCGACCGCTGAATGGGCACGGGCTGGGGCGCGACGGGCGGGGGACGGACGGGCCCCGCGGGTCTGACGCCAGGGGGGCAGCAGATCTTCTGACCCGGGATGCCGCACTCTCCGCCTGCTCCGGGCTGGAACGGCAAGGGAGACGGGAGATGAGATTAAAAAAGATAAAGGTGAGGTTGGTGAGAGATGAGATTAAAAGACTAAGGATTGTGATTTAAGGATCTGGAATTGATGATAATTACACTCGAAATCAAGAGATCAAGGATGCGTAAGAAATAGAATGATAAAAGGTGAGCAACACTAAAAGTATTAAAGCTACAAAGAATGAAAAATTAAAGGATTTCACTGAAGTAATATTTGTTTTTAGCATAAAAAAATCCAGGGTGACCAAGGGTGACCTATTTTCATTCTTAAAAATAGCTGTTAACACATCGTGCTGTAGCGTCACCCTCAAACCTCAAGATTCTTGAACATGGCGCCTCTAAGTGACATCCCTGCCGTCGTGCCCAAATCTCTTCCCCTTTCACCCTCAAACAAGGCATCAAGCAGCCAAAACTATCAATCAAACCCCAGAAATATATCAATTAAGGCATCCTACATCTACCAAGACATCGCTCTATGGCCTCACCCTGTTCACGATCCTGACATCAAAGACTCCAGCGCCGGTCGTCGAGCCCGAACCGCCGTCGTAAGGGCAGCGCTGGTTCACGGGGAGGCAGATGCAGCCCTGGATCCCTCCGATCTGGTTGCCTGTCTGCTGCCCTGCGAGGGAGGGTTCAAAGGGGTTATCTATGATGATGGTGATTGTCATTATTTTTCAGAATTAGAAATATTATTGTTTCATTATTATCATTAATATTCTCGTCATTATGCTCATTATTATCGTTATCTTTAATATTACTATTACTATTATCAATTTTTTAATCATCATTATTATTATTATTATTATTCATTATCATTATGCGTATTATCTTACTCTATTTATCTCTCTATCCTTTTATGCATTAAGACTGATGACTGACTGATCCGATTAATCGCATCGAATCATCTATGTCTGATCATTTATCTATCTTTATTATCAAAAGAATTACTTAATTGCTTACAACTATTACTAATTATTACTATAGCATTATCTATCTGTGCCTTATCATACAATTATTATCTATTATTATCAATTATATCAGTATCAACTATCATCCACTCGTATCAACTTCATCAGTATTTTTACATAATGAACGAATCTTCATTACCGCGCGCTAACAGTTTACAAGTCGGCTAGTAAGATAACCGCCCCCGCTAAACAAATTTCTATGAAAGTTATCTGCGGCCCTCCCGAGCTTCGAGCAAAGACCTTGTCCACGTACCCATCTATCAGTATTATACTCTCGTCCCAAATTCCTCTTCATTCTCGTGCGGACCTCTTCCGTTGAAAGAAATTCCAGGACTCATTTTCTCCCTTCTGCAGAATTATTCGCGGTTCCACCTCGCTCATGTTGAAAAAGACTAAGAACGTAACCTAAGGCAATTCCAAGAAAACATCTAGGATCTCGTGATTTCTTCCCGAATATCGCATTCATTCAGACTGCGGCGCTGGTAACGACTCAACTAATAGGATGAGAAATAAGACCTCAGGCGAGACACGACCTGACTCCGGAGACGATAGCGTGGAGCAGACCGACAGGAGGTCAACACCGGTGGAAGAACAATAGACGCAACTCTACCTCATACTCCCCCAAGTACACAATGCCATAATGACAGACGAAAACATGCACAATACAGAGTACTCTCACATCTCTTCATGAACCACTCGATACTGATCTTCCTACATACGGACTTCGACCTCTTATCACCTGTCACCCGGAGCAGCTCATAATCTCTTCTCATAAGCAGCGCAGCTTAATACCCTATACATAGAGAGGCCGGTAAACCTGTCGATACAATCATCTTTTCTCCCCATCTCACTCGTCCAGGTCTACCAAAGCTCAGTCTCATCACTCTCATCCTATCGAGCATCTATCAATAGTCGCTCATGGAAGAGCGATACTCTCTTCTCATAAGGATCATTCGTCTCTCAAAGCATCGTCGATTTTATCAATCCGATATCATTTGTCTTCTCCGTTCTATATGCATCTTCGAATCATTTCGAAGATATTTAGCAATCTCTACAGTCGATTCTATCTTGAGTCTGAGTTAAGGTTCCTAATTAGGACATTGAACAACTCATCAGACTAGGATCGAAAGAAAATCTTTAGACAAGAATCAATCAACTTTCAGAAGACGAAACAACTTCACGCATGCCTCATCTGATATCGTTCTTTCCCTCCGTTTCAAGGCACTACTTCCCATATAGAATCTATAAGGCGAAATCTCGTACATTCTCGTAATCATCGGGAATCTGGATGTTGTCTTCTCTGATTTCCGAAACGTATCTCTCATCGTTTTCTCATTGTCCGTGTTCAGCAAATCTTATCTGTGGCGGCTCGTCCTCTTTCCCATCCGCAAAAACAAAACATAGTCCAGTCACATCATTCTCCTCTATATCTCTACACGTGTGGATTCCTCTCAGTCGATACATCCCTTTCTATTATCATCTGGACTAGTGTGTTTTCTTTTAATATTCTTATTCGTATTTACTGTTTGTTACGATGCTGTCGCGAGGACGGATTTCCGAGGGAAGTAGAAGGAGAGGGAGGATAGTAGGGTAAAGGAGAGAGGAGGGTAGAATTATGTAGCCACTCCTCTCACGTGAAATCCGTCGTTTTGGTTCGGTCAGAGTAGCGCCGATGGGAAGGTCTAGGTCGGAATAAGGAGAGTAGGGAGACGGGTAAGGGAAGGAGGGGGAAGAGAGAGGAAAGAAAGAGAGACGAGAGAGGGCAGGGAAGAGAAGTAGACGTAGACGCCAGGAGAAGAGAGAGAGATGAGAGAGAGAGAAGAGAGAGAGAGAGAGAGAGAGAGAGAGAGAGAGAGAGAGGGAGTGCCCCCCCCAACCCGTCATGCAGAGAGCAAAAACTCACCTGTCTGGCCCCAAACGGGTTGCACGCCCAGCTGCGACGCCACGAGACCCAGCCTACGTTCTGGTTGTTCTGCGCCGCCCACCAAGACGGACACGACGGCCACGGTTAACGCACACGGCCCACGCCCTGCAATTGCACCTTGGTCATTCACGTGGAAGGT